TTACTAAAGGGGTATAGAATATATCGTAACAATACTTATACCTATAATGTTATAATATAGTCTTAGCTAGTCGAGACTCCTATACTACTATCTCTGCTACCTAACCTACTATCTCGGTTACGTAGTAGTCTAGCCAGCTTCTACTCGGCCAGGGTCGTCTTATAAGACTCCCTCCTTGTCCCTTAGCTTGCTTTCCTCCTTATGGTTATCCTATTCCAGGTTGTGCCCTATTCGTCTTCTGACATATAACGTTACCTTACTAAAGATTAAGAGCTCAATTAATTATGTAATTTACTACCCCTCCTTATCCTGACTATTGTATCCTTGCTGTCATGTCCTTATTATTATATTCTTACTATCGTATTCTCGCTGTCACGTAGCCTCGCTGTCACGTAGCCTCGCTGTCGCACCAGGGTTGTGCTAACTTGTCGACCATTTTGCGAATGATTTCTTGTCTCTGTAGTTCAGCTTCTATATGGCCCGGGATTTGCAGCTCCTTTTCTTCTAACATGTATGTCATACCCAACTTCCAAGTACCAAGTCTGTTAGAATAAGCTATAAAAAGTAGAATAAGGAGAGAAGCTAGCTAAGGGGCGAGCAGGGCTTTAATATAGGAGCTGTCTCTCAGCCTAGAAGTGTCCGGAATAGGACTAGCGCCTTCCATGGAATATGCTAGTGCCAGACAGTAGAGCCAAGAGTGCTCGTGTCATAATAAAGTCTCCGTATTATAGCGCCAAATATTCTGGGTCTCTTCGTCATCCGGATTTGGGAGAGCCGTAGGATTGTTTAGGCGTGCGAATAATGCTGGGGAGTATACCGAAAACGCCGCCAAAATTAGTGTACAATAAACGCCAAATCGAGTGTTGAGTTTAAGTGGATTTGAATTATCCTTTGTCTGAATGAGTTGTTGGAGGTAAACTGCGCTAAAATTATCTTCATCCAATTCCTATAACACAATGGCAACTTATCTGAGGACGTGGATACTAACTATCCCTTCTAGATGCTAGAGTTGTTAAAACAAGGAAGAGGAGAACGTGTATTGAAAGTGGAATAAAGGTGTCTACTTTAATGACATTTTCTCCGTAAAACAAAGCCGGGTGGCTAACCAGGTTACATTCCAGGTATTTGAGCCTTAACTTAACCTCGTTATCGTATCCACTTATGTACACTTCGGGTGCACTTTCTTTGTGCTATTCTGGCTTCTGGAAGGAATACTCTACTCAAGACTGAATCCGACGACGACGAATCCTTAGAGCCCACGTGGGATGACGAGGTATTAGACGATGATGAGGACTCTCCTACCACCGATACTTATTGATTAGTTTATGGTCGAATCCCGCGACCGGTTGGAAAATTTGGTAACATTCATGTGTAGACCATGAGTACTATCTTCAGTCTATTCAATCCTGACTAGTTGGCTTCCGACTACAAGAAGGGTACTATCCAGCGACTTCGCCAGGCAGCTTAGAAGCCGAGTCTTTCATGGCACTTTGGTTGTCCGATTCCAACGAGAGCTACCATCAATGTGATCGAAGCCTTCGCCGACTATGATGCTCCAACTTACCAGAATTTGACCCCATGTATCACATCGACATTTCTAGCCGTAATGGTTTACCCCTTTTCGCAATCTCAATAACATATCCACAGAAATATAGGGTTAGAAGGTAGAGAAAGAGGAGAATAGAAGAAGGGGAAATGTTTTAGTTGTACGCATCACTTATTCCCAGCCCCTAATACTACCTTCCTAAAGAGGTTGAGCTGGTACACGCGGTCTAATAATGATTGTTTCTTACTTATCCATGCTCTTCCCCGCTTACGCAATACGGGGGACAAACTTTTGAATAGAAATATGAGGTTCTTTTACAATTCCTGGAAAGAGATTACCAATTTCAACTGGAGTTCAATCCAGAAAGCCTTCCGATTGTCCAAGGGTTAAAGCCGCGTATGTTATAAAGTAAGTGCGAAGCTATGCGAGGCAAAAAAGGCCCTATAGGGGAGGGGGGATTATATTTATCATATCTACTAGCTCTGTCGACACCCCTACACCGGGTAAAGTTGTGTTTTTGGCCGTATCTGGTTCCTGGTTTTCGGGTGTAGTACTATTCTCAGGGGAGTCCGGAAAAATTGGAGTCTGGGTGTTATGCTGGGTTTGTGTACTATTTGCAGTTTTCTTCAAAGTAGTCGTCTGGAGATGCCATCGTAACAGGCCCTGGGAATGGCCTCCCCAGGGCATCCCCTACCGTCAAACCACCGCCCTACGAACTGTGTCCCGCGAAGAATCATTGTCATTAACCGCGTCTAGTTGTTCATCTTCACCCTCGCCCGGTTCCTCGTTGGTGCCCACTTCATTATCGTGGTCATTGCCTTCTAAGCCCAAGCCAAATGGCGAACTAGCGGTAGAAGCGCTCTTTCGCTTCTTGGATCGAGGTCTTGCCTCGTTTTCACTTGCATCTGACCCCAATACGTTAAAGGAATCATCGTCTATGGCCATCTGCTCGTCATAATCGGGTGATATTTCGTCCATAGTTCCTTTTCATTCAATCACTGATGGGCGGAAGGGGAAGTGATCGAATTTGGCAAAGCGCGAAGGTCCTTTTTCTTTTGGGCTTTGGCGAGAACTCCAGAAAACCTTCAGATTGTCCAAGGGTCAAATCCGCCTCCCGCTGGACAAGAAAAGTGGCAGAGATTTATTTTTTAACTATTAGCGTAAGTTGATTCTAAGTACTAAAATGTTTAAAATATCTAGGACGATTACCTTTCTTGTGCTATTGTTTTCGATAAATCATTTTAATTATTGTAAGTAAATAACATAATATAATGCTTTTTACTTAACTTAGGATAAGATAAAAGAGGTCTCTGCCATTTTTCTTGTCCACCGGGAGGCCGCGTATGTTGTAAAGTAAGTGCGAAGCTAAGCGAGGTAAAAAGTGCCGGGTTGTATTTATAATATCTACTAGCTCTTGAGGGCAAATTTGAGTCGGTTTTCTCTTGTCTAGTGAGTAAGGCAAGTAGAGGCTGTCTGAGATCGTAGGAATAATTCTGTTTCTTTAACTAACGTGCTTAATAAAGGGACAATCCGAAACAGGGTATAGGGCAGAGAAGAAGTAAGAGTCGGACGGGGGTTTTAAATAAAAGATGTTAGTTGCCTAATAGTCTTTAAAGATATTAATATATTGTTACAATGTGCAATCGGTCTATATTACAGAAGTAAATGTTATCTAGTACTTCTTAGAGCAATGACGTGGTATTTTTAATAAGTAAGCGGTCTTGCGGAAATAAATGTAAGTAGAGGAGATTCGATGAGCTAGCAAACTTAGTATTCAGGGACTCACTAAAGGTTGAAAGTTATACTATAAAGTTATAATCATTAACGTAAAATAAGAGCTTACAAAACATCACAAGTAAAGGAGGGTAATTTCTCACGCCTAAATCTAGGGCTAGGTAATTTGACTAGAGTATATCTAGTATAGACAAGACTAACTTCGTTCCTGGGTGTTACTACTGAATGTTAGAAGAATAGGGAACAATGAGAGAATAAAGTAAGCATAGAGAGAAAGAGCTGAAGGGGGGGGGCGCAAGGGCTCTGATATAAAGCCTATTCGTCTAGCTAAAGGTGTCCAAAATAGGACTAGTGTCATCTATATAGAATTTACTAGCACCTCACAAAGGCGCCGCCAGTACCCTACTTCGACCGAGAGCGCCGTGCTCTAACAAGACTCTTAAATATTGCTTATTTCACTTACGGTCTTAGATAGCTAAGATACCTATGTAGGAGTCTCAGCTAAAGAACTCGTCAAAGATAGGGGGAGCGTTCTACAGTATAGACTGAAAAAGGTTCTTGAATCTACACTACGGAGGCCTAAGTTCGAAGGACTGAAATTTTACTCTCAAATTATTGTAATCCATTCACTGAGTCCTAGACTAGGCTAATTAACCTGTTCTTGGCGAGGACATCTTCGTTTTCGCCCAGCCCCCTAGTTAGCTCTCTTTAGATATGTTGGGGGAATATTTGCCCTTGAACCCATTATAGTAGGTCAGGATCTACCCAGGGTATTAATAGGTGCAAGGGTTCTTTATAACCTCATACCTTATACGAAGATGATTTTGTTTTCTCGTAAGGTGTATTAATACCATCTTTCTCGCCTAGAATCGTTATTCCTCTGAACCATTCTACTGTACGTTCAAAGGAGTAGAGCGGATATCTGGATAATTATTTTCTGTTCTTCTGTTTTTGCTTGATCTGCTTCTATTTATGAGCTGGTACTACAATACCCTCTTCATCGGAGCTATATATTCACCACGTTTGGTTGATAGTACTTAGATACTACTAATGGTACTTGGTATTAAGTTATCCAAGCTACACCAACAATAGAAGCATTTAAAACATATTTCGAATACTACTAGCCCCATGCTTACCTGTCTATATCCTCATTCTACATCGACTTTTTTTTGCTTTATATCATTATAACTTATGTAGCTGTCCAAAGGTATAAGAAGACATGATTCTCAAAAACAAATGCGGACTTTTCCGTCCCCATAGAAATACTGTACCCTCGGGAGTGATCGTAGTACAGTTTCCCCAGTCCATGGAGTTCCCAAGTCAAGAGCCTGAATTTCGTTAATGGACCATGTCCATTCCTCTTGATCCTAAGCCGGCGAAGGAACCGACATATGGCTATGTTATCCCCAGCCCCCTTACAATGAGTGTGGGTTCCGGCCATTGGGCATTTTCAGACTTCAAGACCCATATTCAATTCACTAGGTAAGATGGTTATTCTTCACATTAGCTTTACGGACTCGAATAACCTGAGAATGAGTCCGCTGCTCGAACTCTTCTCGGAACGTTCACTTACTGGTAGAATGTGGTGGAAGTCAAGGGTGTATTTTGAGGGTTTCTTAGAAATGAACTCACACAGTCGTAAATTATGTACACACTGATGGAGATCTAACATGGATGGTAATTAAGAACTTCAAGCAGCATCCCAGATAAGTCCAAAGAAGCCAGAATACATTAGGTACTTATCATCAGAACAAACTATCAAACACATCATAAAATACATAACTCAAACAACCAGCCCCAATTCCAAAATCATCAATCCCACCTCCTCTCGTCCTCAACAGTAATCTCAAACAGCCTTTTTAAAGCCATGAGCATTCACCTGTCCCCTCTTTTCCGCCCTTCTTTTATATTCCTGGTCTCCCCTTTTAGCTCCAGAGACGGCTTGGTACCGAGTATATGAGGACCAATCCCCAGCTTCCTTATCATTCCCCCTCTCGCCGAAGCGGTTCACGGGGTTGTCCTAAATAATTTGGAAAAAGGTTCATTGCTACGAGTCGTCACCCAGTAATATCCAAGTCTCTGGTTCGGAAAAGGGGGTGGTTGGTTGTGTTGCTGTGTTTGTGGTGGTTTTGTGGATGTTGATGAATTCCCAGTCTATGACTTCTTCTGGTGTTGGTGGGATGAGAATGGGTGATGTGGATGATGGTAATGACTGTGAGATCTCAAGTGGTGTTGCATGTGGTGTGGGTAATGGCCGATGTTGAATCGAGGGTGGCTTTGTGGGGGTGTTGGTAGTTGTTGCTGAGTGAGATATGAGAGTTGAGATATCGACATCGTCTCTCAGATGTGAAAGCGAGAGGCGTAGCGGGAGAGAGATCCACGTTGGGCGTCTTCGAGAAGCATGGGCACGTCTTGCATAAGCACGTCTTGGTCTTCGATATCGAAGAGTGTAGGGTGGGGGATCATGTTGGACAGGAACATAGCAAGCACCAACATCCTCTCGCGTATTATCCTCATATAATATTCCCAGCCGATAAAGCTCCTGGGTAGGAATAAGCATACAGCCAGTCGTCGCCCTAGTCCCCAAACACCGGCGCCACATGAGGGTAGGAAATGGAGTAGGTGATGTGTGTAGTCAAGGATCGATATAATCGATGTCGCCCCAAAGACTCATAACCACATCCAGCATAGCAGGACAAAGACTCACGTCGTCTGAGATATCTCCCCCATATAGCCTCTGCTGCTCTCTTTCCAGCTCTTGCATTCTTGCTACATCGGCAAGTGCTTTCTCTTTCTCCTCGGCCTCACGCTCCTTCCATCGTTGCCACGATAGATGGACGCTCTCGCGGAGAAGAGGAGAGGGCCTGGCTCGGTCCGAAGGGAGCGAGACGCTGGAATCGTAAGCGTCTAGATACCCTTCTGTAAACTCGGCCTGGATGTTGGCTTTGCGAGTTACAGTTCGACGGGTTCGGGAGCCAGGCCGCTCCCGTCGTCTATTTTGACGGTGGTGAGGGGTCACGGTGTATCCATTCATTCCAGCCATCATTGAAAAGTTTGTAAGGAAATTAGTGGTGGAGTATATAAAGAAGTTCGAGTATATAAGAGAGAATATGAAAGCACCCAAGAGGGTCTGAGGGAATGTCGGAGGTCTGCGGTGGGGAGAGCAAAAATATCACGCACGGAGGAAGAGGTGATTTTTATATCAGGACATCGAACTCTCGAGTCATCTTCGACTTTGTTACCTATGTCGGCTGGGAGATGCCTTGGTTATCGAGTCACGAGATATGACACGTTCGGGTCAGAATATGTTGTGATTTGCAATTGTGTGATAGGCCGATATCGTCGTGGTTGTTGAGTGAGTCACAAATGCCGACCCTTCGCGCTACAATGGATGGCTGACGACGGGACAGGCAGAGACGATCCCTGCAGTTTTTAGGAGACTGAAACATGAAATAAGAAACGGCTGTGCAGACGGGATGTGATATGTGCATCAAATGTATTCAAATCAGAAGGGAAGGGAGGTTACCGTTGGAATCGTCTGGGAAATATGGGTCATCTCAATATTGGGAGTGTCGGGTGGCTGTGCGTTGCTGTGGCGTTATGAGTAAGTTCCCTGAAAATCCAAGAAACCCCCATCTCAATTGTTTAATATTTTGCATTGCCAAATAAACGAACGATGCACGATGTGAATTTAACGTCTGTAGTTATCTTTGCATGCTTGGAATGAAGTTATCTAAAAGAGAGATTTAGAGGGAAATCTACTAGAGGAAAGACCGCGATGAGTTCGAAATATTTCCAACATGCAGATCTCATTTACCGGCAGGGAATCATCTAGTGGAGGCTTAACACACACTCCCTTTAGGCGAATGGCTGGCTACCTATGCAATGCCCTCTACTACATCTACATACATCGTAGTCATGGCTTAACCGAAGGGAAGCCTGACCATCAAGTCTTATCTAGGCTCGTCGTGAACTGAAAGCTGCTGCAGTGATTGCATCTCGCTAGAACGATTCTTGGTTGTTCCAGAACAATCTATCAATAATTTATCTAGCTTTCCGGGACAGTTGAAGCAAGGAACCTAAATATCTAGGCTAATTAATAAGCTCGACCTACTGCAAGTTTTGGTAGGTATCTGCCTAGAAGTAAACTTTTGTCCATGCTGGATGACTCGAGGGTGCCATTGTTGTAGATCTGCCAAAGAAAACTAGGTTGGACAAAATGTTGAGGGCGGTTACCAAGATAGGAAGCCCTCGGGAGTTTTAGAGATGAGCTGGGCAACTCCTTCCAAGTGGATTCGTAACCGTCGCTAGTTTCGGCCGTATACGTTATCACCGCACCAAGAATTTAGTAAGTGAAATTTTCGCAAAGCTAAATGATACGGCGATTGCCATTGGCTGTACAGCAATCCAATGAGGCAAGTCACGTGGTAAGCCAAGCGAGAGGTGGTTGTATCATTCGTAATCTAACACCACGGACCTTAGATTAGATTTGGCATGCTAGCGTTGCGGACTTGGGATGCCGACATCAAACTTCGCGGGAGTACTGAGCGACGGAACAGCAGAGACACTGCCCCTTAAACACCAAGAACACATCACCACCACCATCACCAACACGCTGGCGCAACACGTATTCTCTTCCGAATCCCCTCCGCTCCTTTGACAGTTACGACGATTTGTCTACTCTCTCTCTCTCCAGTCTCTCGCTCGACAGCGCCCTAGACCCCTCGCGACACGATACGAGTACGCTGCGCTGCCCATTCGACCCCACCCTTTCTGGACTCTCCCTATCCCGCATCAGCACGAGACCACCATCGTGAACGTACGACCCCAGAAACGCATCCCAGACCAGTCGGTTCTCTCTCTTTGACGTCGTCAGAGACGATCGCAAGTACACGCCGACTACACTCATTCTCATATCGCGACCGCTGCTGGCAGAACTCTCGGAGCGCAAATTACACTACACTAGAATTAGGAGCATCGGGGCTGAGACGTTCGCCTCGCGACCGCCGACCACAGACCTTCCAACAAACAAACAATCCTTCCAAGCCAATTCTTGATGAGATACACCCACTGCCATTGATTTTGTATGTATGCAGATGGAAGGGGGGGTTGCAATGTATACCGACCCCGCGCAGGATGCCCGGACCGACGAGGCTGGGCCAAACCTCTTTCTCATGACAACGGCTAGCACGCCAGCGACTCCCGGCCCATCTACGCCCACCGCCGTTCGACCACTACCGCTAGATCAATTGAAAATTGAGGACCACCATGAAGAGGACATCATTCCTCCCATACGACCAAAAAGCACACCATTTCCAGAGGCAGATATGGTTGAAGGAGATATACAATGTTTGCAGCGGCTGAACGACGCCGAGAGAATGGATGATGTCGCACAGCTCGAAATACCACCCGCTTCGACCGTGTCGCATTTATGCTCTCTTCCCATCGAAATTCATGACTGCATTCTCGATCACCTATTCGGCCAACGAAGCTCGGCCGCTTCGAGAACCACAGGCCCGGGGAGGTCGAAGATATTAAGAAGTTGGGGCACGGCACTGAGGCATTCGAGGAGGCGCGAAGTTGCTGAGTTGTCCCTGGTGAGCCGGAAATGGAGAGGATTGGTTCAGGATCGGCTTTATCGCCATCTGAAGATCAAGGGTACACGAGAGTCTGTCGATCTGTCTATTTACTGGTTTCACCAACACCCGCATCTTTGTGGGTATGTCAAACATATCGAAATATGGTTCCCGGTATTCCAGCAGAAGAACCCCGCATTCGATCGTACTCTACGCGTTCCTCCAATGACACACCTGGAGCGCTCATCATTAAATCGGCCCCATGTGCTATCGGAAACCACCCTCAGCGTTACTTACCAAAGTCCATCGAACAATTGCACACTAGAGGAGATTTTCGGCTTCATCAAATTGACTTTTGGAGAAGCGTGCATCTTGACACTGGAGGGTGGGGACCGAAAAAAGCCACCAATGGTCAAGCACTTTGTTGATGGCTCGATGCGCACGAAACTTCCGGTCATTCCTCAAATCAAAACTTTGGTATGCAAGGGGCAATGGAATCTTATCAGATCCAACGAAGACTTCCAAAATCTGTCTATAGCGATGCCAAATCTCACTGAATGGCACGGACTATATGCAAAACCAAAATCGAAGAGTTATATATCAATGGCCGCTACTATCCCGCATATTCCAATACAGCTCACGCATCTCAACCTCTGTCTCGAAAACGACTATCGTAGGGAGGCTGTTTCACCCGTGTTTGTTCGAAAAGTGGCAGCGAAGACGCATTTCTGTATAGAACTCGCCAAAGCTATCCCAACTCTGGAGCATTTGTCCTTTACTGGAAGAATATGCCGCTCTTTCTTTGACGATGCGGCAAAACTAAGCAATTCTCGAACATCACGAATGAAAAGCATCGATTTACTAGTGAAGAATATTTGCAGACCTACGTTTGTATGGAATGACGGGACTGGGATTTGTGATATGCCATTCATTCAGGCCTTTGAAGCATTGGTCCATTCTGCTGTCAGATCACTAGACAAACTCGCAGCTTTGGAGTTTCTACGGATTCGCTTCATTGATTTGGGTAAGTTGACATTTCAAACTTTGCATCGGCGGTGCTAATAAATGTAGAATCCCAAGTGCCAGCTTTGAACCCTTACTTCCAACTTCAGGACAATCAATGTACCGGTATCTGGAGTGATTCTATCATCGAAACCCTCGACCGAACCAGACCTACAGCAATCTTCATGGAAAAGTCCGACACGATTGGCGATGTCAGCTTTAAAGACGGACAGTTTACGACGCTGGGTAATATCTCCAAAACCAAGACTTTATCCATTAAGGCGTCAAGCTACCAAGCATTGACTGGTGTGATCACGATAAACTGATTCTCATCACCATGTTTGCTTCTGATGTTCCAAATCCGTTCTCCGACATGTCGAAGGTCAACATGCAAAGCTCTTTACTTCATCTTACGTTCCTTTCCATAATCGCTCCTTTCTCTTTTTGTCGCCCTTTTTTATTTTTGCATGCATGTCTGGGATATTTGTGAGGGGAAAACGGGGAGGTTGGTTTTTAATATAAGATAGGGTGGTCAAATTGTGCATCATGGAATCATTGAGCGATGGAGTTACAGTTTGCCTTTTGCATTTGTTTTGGAATTTTGAGGAGTTCTTTTCTTTCTCTCTCTTCCTTTCGCGGTAATTATTTTGACCACTTCGAGTTCTTTGCTAGGCTAGTGTGGACTTGGGGACTTTGGGTCGTGAAAAAGTCTACGGGATCGTTTCGCTTTGTTTTCTTCTCTCTTTTTCTTTTTCTTTTCCTTGTTATAGCTTTTGGTTCATTTGAGACAGAATTGCGCCTTTTGTAATGGGAATGGAATGGGTGGTTGAGATATAGGAGGGGGAGAGGGGTTTCGCTATCTAGAGAGCTGGGTATGGAAATTGCTGTTGTCGCATAGGACGAATAGAATTGAAGTGTTTTAAACTTTTCTTGGTCTCGCTTATTTGCGTCTTCTTTGGAGTATGTGATCATACAACCTCTTCTTGACCTTTATATTTCCCCTCTTTCTCTTTTTTCCAAATCTCACATCTCCACCCTCTCTTTAATCCACTCCCTTCATCGCCCTCCTCACCACTCATATCCTCAATCCACTACGACCACCACCACTCCCAACATCCCCAACAATCACACCCAGAATCCAAGCATTCGTCAAAAAGAACAACAAACTAGCACCCCATAAGCCGGGTACAAACGTACTTTCCCCCATAAACTCCAGTTGAAATCCCTGATGTAACCACATCCCCTGTGTCACAACCCATAGTCCCCCCGCTATCAGGCCCTTGAGAGGCGAAGTGAGCAGTGAGGAGCGGGGGAGATAGAGAGGGAGGAAGATGGTGTACCAGAGGAAATACTTGGGTTTGTTAGTCGGGAATAAATGTGGAGTAGGGTGTAGGATGTAGGATGAGATGGGAAATGGGAAAGGGGGGAGGAGTTACCTGGCTTGTACAAACTTTGTTGAATGTTACGAATGCGAAGGTTTGCGCTAGCATTGTGCTGGGGAGATCTTTCTTTGCTAGAATTAAGGGGATGGCTACGCCTGAGAGGAAGAGTTGCGGGATGAAAGCGAGTTTTTCGATTTTGAAGGATGAGGATGAGGATGGGAGGGAGGAGGAGAGGTATAAGAGGGTGTTGTAGGGTGAGAAGTTGTGTCGGTGGTCGATGCGGGTTATGTGGTGGAGGTAGGTGTGTTGCAGGAAGGGGAATCCGTAGATGGTGTACATGAGGATATTTAGGCCCGCGAATGTGAGGAGGGAGGTGAGGGTTAGGATTATTCTTGGGGCGTTGAGGAAATTGGTTGCTTTCTCGAGCAGGTCTTGTTGTGAAGAAGACTTGGTTTTGCCTTTCCCATTTATGGTACTGAAGATGAGTTGAGAGTCGTCTAACCACCAGATTATGGAGGGTGCATAGATGAAGGGGTAGATCTTGAAATGCACACCCAGTCCAAGTAATAGTCCCGCGAGAACTATCTTTTTCCGCAGTACCGCCCAGAGTAAAGCAATGACCATCACGCCCAATAATCCTTCTGAGCTACCACGAGTACTAATCGTCGCAACCATAGGATTCAACAACCAAATACTCGCAAACTTCAACGCCCTCTCCGTCTTCATCCCCACATCCCCATTTCTCAGAATAAGGACTAGGAGCCAGCCAGCGAGGATATCGCCAGCGGCAAATAGAACTTTTCCAAAGGAGAACCACGTGTTGGACCAGGTGGTAGGGAGAAGTAGCCAGGCGAGAAGAGGTGTGTATCGGTAGGTTTCCCGGTCGTAAGGGGATTTCTCCAGTGAGACGAAGCGGGAGGCGTCAGTGAAGACGTAGTAGTCTATGTCTGTGTATTTTAACGGCGAGTTGGCGTCTTGCCAGAGGCCGTAGAAGAGGAGGACTACTCGGAGGAGGATTGAGGCGGAGAATATGAGGGTGGGACTTGAGAAGAATGATGATGAGACATCTTGGGTGGTGTTTTGTAGGTGAGATTTGGAGTTGGATGGCGAGGGGATGGCCTTTGGATGTTTTTCAGATTTGGCCATTTTTTATATCTCGTCTCGGCTCATCGTCTCATCTCATATAAATCTTGATGCTCAGGAGAGATACGGGTGACTTCCTTGTAGTTTTCACGTGACCATGGAAGAGCCGATTTCGCGGCCTAAACTCACCCATGAAACATCACCCAGAAACACCCCAGTTTGTTTCAACTCCACCTTTACACTGCAGAACAACGCAAGCTCTCTGCCTCAGTCGCAAGGCCGCACACAATCACCATGGCTTCTAACGAAGAATGCCATGTGGTTCTCCTTCCAACAAACCCAGTTTCAACATCTATATTATCAGAGTCTAAAAGTGAGGATTTGAATAGGATGCCGGCCATAAAGAGACATCATGATGGAGCGGAGAAGGAGAAGGATGCTAGTACTTCACCTTTTATGCCCATGTTTGAGGGCTTTCGTGATGAGCTGGATGAACATCATGATCGGAGGGAGCGTGTTATAAAGGCTTCGCGGGATATTACTGCTGCGAGTAAGAAAATGTGAGGATCTTCAACTCAAAAGAGTCAAAAATTAATTAAAGCTGACTATTCAAATAGTATTTTTGCACTCCAGAGGTAGTCAAACCCCCACGTGCTTTCATTCCATGTACAGGGTGAAATCTGACGTGTACTAGAGTACGCTCACTAAAAGCCGACCTCCCACCAAAAATATCCTCAGAAGTCCAAGAACGTGCCACTACCATGAAAGCACAGTTCGACACTATAGCACCTGATCTGGTCGGGATCAACGCCTGGAGATACCAACGACAAATCTCGGGCGGAATCCAAGAATACATGGAAGCCATCTCATTCCAACACTACCTGCGCCATCAAACCCTCATTACCCTCCCGGAAGCCTCTTCCTCGCTCCCAAGCGCCATAGATTTGACTGGCGACGATTACGTCCTAGGAATCTTCGACCTTGTGGGAGAGTTGATGCGTTTTGCCATCACGACTATTGCTACGACCGGCTCATTACCATCTTCTAAAAACGGGAGCGAGGGAGAAAGAGATGTCCTGCAGGATCTTAGGGGTTTGAGAGCGTGCTTTGAGAGTCTGGATACTAGTTCCTGTAAAGGCACGGGGTTGGGAAAGGATGTGGAGAAGAAGATGGAGGTTATGAAGACTTGTGTGGGGAAGGTTGAGACGGCGGTTTATGGGATGATTGTTAGGGGGAGGGAGAGACCAAAGGGGTGGGTTCCTGATGATAGGGCGGCTCAGGTTGAGAGTTATTGAGCTGAGAATGCTTATTGATTTGGGGTGGGCGTGGGGTATAGGTCAGTGGGGAGGGAGAGCCTGGTGTGCTCAAGGAAAGCGAACCAAAAACACTCGCTGCTCACTTATCTGGTGTCCAGCTTTGTGTCTTGGAACCAAAAAAACACTCGCTGCTCAATACTTGCGTGGCTTCTAGAGGTGCGTCAAGGAAACTCCAAAGCACTCGTTTCTCATCCTGCATACGAATTACTGCCTTGATGATGCTGGATGCTGGCTATGGCTTGGTGATGAGGATTTGTCTCTCATCTAGAGAGATAAAAAATAAGAAATAAGAAATAAAAGCAATAAACAAATCACAAATTATAGTGTTGACTTTGTTGTATGAAGTCATGTAACAAAGTCAGAATGATAGAGGAAGTCGTAACCAATTATAAAAATCTTATGCCAAGTAATTCTACTTTGTTCAAAGAAGCTCTTACAAAATATCTTTCCATATAAGTTCAGATGATCAATTATCTTTATAATATTTCTAGAGTTCTGGAATTTCCAGAATAGTTGGCACGGGTGACGGGGCTTATTTGGTTTGTAATTGTCGAAATACGGTGACTCTGTCGTTGTTTTCTTCGTTCTTTTTTTCGTCCTATCTTTCTCCAGAGTAATTGGATTGAAATTTCTCACAATAAACATTGTTAAGTATATACAATGACTCTATAGAATATAACTTGATTTCGGAAGCCTTCTACAAAGGAGACGTTCAACACAATTAGCGCATTTCAGAAAGATTATGTAATCACAGAAAAGGGGGTGTAGTGTACGAAGTAAATTGTAACTTGCCGTTGCGGCGGATTTTCTGTCCACCTGAGGTGCCCTGATCAATAGATGACCGTAGATTTATGCTTCAACAAGGGTAGCACTCCCCGATATCACGCTAGCAGGGATATCGCATGGCTCAAGCTCCTCGACATGACAAAAGAAAGTTGGGGATTCTGAACTTCGAAAATCAACGAGTCAATCTGCCAACAAAAGTCCATAGAGTTGGCACTCGTCGTCCATCAATTCTCTCAACCAGCTGATCCCATCAATTACCAACCGCCAACATGTTAAAATGGTAAGTCCCAATCGGTTCCCCCTCTATTGCAAATGGCGAATCATCAACCAAGAATAATCGCTGATATGACCGATCTAGGTACCAAATGAGGCTGGCCAAGAGCCCTCTCTTGACACAGAGCATCACAACTGCCGTCTTGTTTGCAACTGGTGATACCATGGCCCAGCAATTGGTTGAGAAGAAGGGATGGAAGAACCATGAACTGGCACGAACAGGTCGCATGGCATTCTATGGAGGAGGTAATGATTATCATCTCCCCTCAAACCCTTTTCACACCGCTAACTTTTGCTTTGCCCAGTCATCTTTGGTCCCGCAGCCACCACCTGGTTCAAATTCCTTCAAAACAAAGTCGTCTTCCAGAATAAGAGAGTTGAAATGTTTGCCCGTGTTGCAGCCGATCAAACCGCCTTTGCTAGCACCAATCTTTTCGTCTTCTTGAGCACCATGGCTGTTATGGAGGGATCCAGTCCTAAGGCCAAGTTGGAGAGCACATACTGGACTGCTTTGACAAAGAACTGGATGGTCTGGCCATTTGTCCAAGCCGTCAACTTCACATTTGTTCCTCTCCACCACCGAGTGTTGGTTGTCAATGTCATTTCCTTGGGATGGAACTGCTACTTGAGTTTCCTTAACAGCCAAGGTGGTGCAGCACCAGCTGTTAAAGCAATCAAGGAGGCCTAAATCTTCGTATATACTGGATTTATTCTACCTGTATTTGAGCATTTTCTTCTTGTGTAGATGGGCTCTTTTCATTGATCCTCACAGGTCTGCTTGTGTGGAATTGCACAGCGATGGCGTTTGGGAGTGGATAGAATAACTTGGAAGCTTTTCGCACAGGATTTGAGCTTCGTCCTACGTTCATTCTATTATGGAAGTTTCATATGTGCTTATTAGACGGATTGTAATATTCTTCTAGGGCAGAGTAGATATCTTGAAGTAGATACTATACCTTCAAGAAAACTGTCTACTACAATGCTTACACTACCCTTTGATACTGAATTAGGGGTCTCACTATTTTCACCTCTCTGATCACAAGACTGGAGATTATATTCCAGATTCGATTCACTATTTTATACCTTTACGCTTTTTCATCATAATCGGCTCGAAAAGCCAAGCGTGGTTTCACGTGAATTTCATCCTCCAAGAAACGCTTACTAAGCGGCGGGTGGTAGGATCAACTTTTGGCACAATCGCACGCACAGCTAGAGCCCTGACACCCACAGCTTACGAACCTCTACTAGTAGTGCCAGTGCCTCAACCTACCGAGTACCTGTCTCCTGTCACCTCTCACCTCTCAAGCAATTAGACTCCTTCCTCTCTACTGTCAAACGACAAATTGCCTGGAGCAAGAAGTCGCAAATCCACCAACATTCCGCAGACCAACGCAGGTCGCTCGCACTCATTTACTCCCAAGTTTCCATTGCGCCCCTCTTTCCCTATCCAGCCTGACGCAAGATAAAAGTCAAAGCCGAGACCACCAAACCGCAACACTTCGCCTCTCCCACCTTCATAACTTCCATCCCGACCGAATCACCCCACCAAAGCATACAATCATGGCAGCCAACGAGCAGGTTGACCTCTCCACCATCCCCATCTCTCCCGAGGGTGGCAACGATCCCGAAGCGAACAAGAAGCCCAGCGCCGTTGATTCGCAAGAGCAGATCACGGTCTTTCACGACAAGGATAACTTCAATGTCAAGCACCCTTTGGAGAACAAATGGACCCTTTGGTTCACCAAGCCACCAAGTGGAAAGGTTAGATATGTGCACCATGAGCTGGAATCGAGGTTTAGCTAACAGCTTTGCAGGGCGATAACTGGAATGATCTCTTGAAAGAGGTTATCACCTTTAATTCAGTCGAGGAGTTTTGGGGTGTCTATGTATGTATAATTCCCCCCTCCATTATCCACCTTATGCAAAGGTGAATAGCACTAATCCACCATAGAACAATGTCGCACCAACCTCTGAACTCGCCCTCAAGTCCGACTACCACCTCTTCAAGCAAGGCGTCCGTCCCGAGTGGGAGGATCCTCAAAACAAGCACGGCGGAAAATGGTCCTACCAATTCAAAGAGAAGCGCAATGTCCCCATCGACGAGCTCTGGCTTCATGTCATGCTAGCCGCCATCGGTGAGACGCTCGAGGGGGTTGGCGACGGAGAGATTATGGGTGTCGTTGTCAACGTACGAAAAGGCTTCTACCGTATCGGTGTCTGGACCCGCACAATTGGCAAGAGCATCCCCAATGGTGGAGACGGTGATGTCGCAGGTGGCAAGGGACGCTCCATCGAGAAGGGTCGCGATATTCTTCTGGCAATTGGACGGCGGTTTAAGGAGGTTCTCGCGTTGCCTGCTACGGAAGTGGTGGAGTTTTCGGGTCATACTGATAGTGCGCACAGTGGTAGTACTCGTGCGAAGGCCAAGTATACCGTTTAGATGGTTGTGTCTTGGTATCTATCTTTGATCCGCCGATTTCCACATTTACTTCGACATGAGATTACGAAATGGGATATCCAGGCATGGAATGCAGAGGGCACGCAGTATCTGCAACCGAGGGTATTGCGCTGATTCCTTGTGAGGCCTTTTTCTTGCTTCTTTTGCTCCCAGGGCAAAATAATGGCGATGGTAACACGAAATATCATACTTGCATGCAGCATGTTGTTTTTTTCGGGCCTACTACCAGACTCACGCTCATACCTGGCTGGCGTTTTTGTGGTTTCTTTCCAAGGGGAAAAGGCAATTTTTGCAAGCAAAGTCTGGTTTTTTTGCTTTTTTCTTTTGCTACAAATTACCCATAAGTTTGTCCATAGAGAGAGCCATTATTGAGAATTACAAAAAAAGTGTTGAAAAGTAGACTTGTTGTGTTGAGAGTGTATGATTTTTACAGTAGTCTCGTTTTGTGACCTTACTAATTTGAAGGATGTTTGTCTTGACTTGAGATATAGTTACCTTCAAATTCCTTAGTCAAATGGAGAGTAATACATGGCCTTTGTGGTAGCTTTATTTCATAACCTTGACCATTTTATGAGATGGTAGTCTTAACTTAACTTTGATTCAAGAACTTTGATTTGAGGTTTTCCATGGTTAAATAGAGAGTAAGTCCTATATTACTTTGATAGTACCTAGCTTCGTTCTATAAACTCCCATCTGATTAGAATTTGATGGTTGTTTTTACCTTGAAGTTACGTACGTCACCTGAAATTCCTTGGTAAAGTAGAGAGTAAGTACCTAAGGTACAATACATTACTTTGATAGTACCTAACTTTGTTTTATAACCTCATCCATTTGATTAGAATGAGATGGTAGTCTTAACTTTAATTTGGTTCAAGAACTTTGATTTGAGGTTTTCTATAATAAAAATAGAGAGTAAGTCCTATATATTACTTTCATAGTACCTAGCTTCGTTCTATAAACTCCTATCTAATTAGAATTCGATGGTAGTCTTAACTTTAATTTGGTTCAAGAACTTTGATTTGAGGTTTTCCATGGTAAAAATAGAGAGTAAGTCCTATATATTACTTGGATAGTACCTAGCTTCCTTACCCCCTTACCCTTACCCTTACCCTTACCCCCCTACCCCTCTCAATACTTTATAATTCTCATCATTAAATTCTCGTCGTACTGTACAATACCTCGGACCCAAAATAACTCCTAACTCCGGAAACACCTCCCAACCCCCAAATCCAAATCCAAAATCCAACTTACCAAGGAAGCGTTTCCTTGGTAGAATATAGGAATTTAAATATAAAGAGTAGAGATGGATGTATGTCGATTAGTTATTTAATTAGTTGGAGAGTGAGTTAGTTAGTTAGTTAGTTAGTTAGTTAGTACCTTTAAAGTGGTGGACTGGGTGAGATTTTTGAGGTTTTGGGGGTTTTGGGGGGTGAGGGAAGTGAGCGGGATTAGGGAGTGGGGAGTGGGGAATGAGAGATTAGGGAGTGATTGGGGAGTGGGTGTTTTGATGGTGGGTAGGTGTATGTGATGTGTATGTGATATAATGTGATTTATGAAAATTGAGGAGGTTAGGGAGGTTAAGTGTTTAGAGCGAGGGATGGTTAGTTACCAGGTAGTGGAGAGGGGAGGGGGAGGGGTTGTGTTGACGGTGTTGTTTTCTGGGTAAGTCGAGGTAAGTCAAGGCAAAGTAAGGTAAGATCGCTCACTCGTATATATGGTTTCAATGTTGTTCTATTCTATTTCTATTCTATCTCTATATACAGTACAAGTCTAACATTCATTCTTATTCTTATTCTTATAAATACAAACACAAGTATCCATCTCCATCTCTATTTATTCATCTATCCAACTTTTTTCTCCACACTTCTATATATTGCTTGAGCATTTTTCTTTTCCTTTTTCTTGTCTTATGTTGGTACATGATTTCTTGTTTTTCTTCTTTTTTGAAAGAGAGAGCGGGGGAGGGCAGAGAGAGGTTAAATGTTGGTTTCGTCACCGCTGAAATCATCGATGAAGACTTGTTTGACGAGTTCTTTTTTGTTGACTGTTTTTCGGATGGTTAGCGGAAGTTTTGTATTCCGATTTTTTGGGGGGATTGAGGGAGTGGGTGAGTGCAATGGAGAGATACTACACTGTATCCAAGAAGCAAACCAGAAACCAAGAAGAAAACAAAAGAAAAAAGAGCAAGAAAAAAAAAAGAACTCACCCTTCCCCATAGCATTCCTCCCAATCTCCTCCACAACCCTCATCACAGTCGGAATCTTATACCCCGCAACTCTCGACCTCATCGCCGCCCTCATATCCAACGGTCCCCACCGCATCCCCTCCTTTCCCTTCCGCTCACTCATCTCACATCCCTTCTGCAATACCACCACCGCCCCAACTTTCTGTCCCCATTTACCGCTCGGTACCGCGACGACGGCCACCTCGGCGATTTGAGGAAGCGAGAGCATCTCTCTTTCTACCTCGAGCGCGGAGACCTTCTCGCCGCCTGATTTGATGATGTCGGAGGAGAGACGGCCGCGGATGAAGTACATTGATCCCTTGGCCCACGACTGTGTGGTTCCGGTGTTTGGGATGGGACGACGGCGTGCTACGTCGCCGGTTTTGAACCAGGGTCCTTTCCCGTCGTTTGAAGATACCATTTCTTTCGCTGTTGCGGCGGGGTTGTCCCAATATTCTTTGAAGATCGTAGGGCCCCTAAGTTGGATCTCACCATCTCTCTCTCTCCCTTCTTTATCCACCTCCTCACCTGGCATGATCTCCTCCCCGGTCTCAACATCTACAAGTCGAACCTCGACGGTTGGGAGAGGCCACCCCACGGAGCCATCTACGCGGTCGGAGGGTGAGAGACCACAGGAGAGTGCCATGCCTGCTTCTGTCATTCCGTAGCGTTCTAGAATTATATTCCCGTCGCTTAGCTCGGCCCAGGCTTTTTTCGTGGGCGTTGGCAGAGCGGCAGAACCGGAGATGGGGAGACGGAGGTTTTGAGGGGAGATAGCTTTTTTAGCTGCTGTTTGAACAGAGGGGGGCAGGTCGGGGAATGATGAGAGGAGTCGATTGTAGACTGTTGGGACAACGGTGAAGAATGTGATTTTTTGTTTTGGGTGGTAAGGGCTGTGCCCATTTGTGAGTGATCCGTTAGGAAGAGAGCCATTGGTTTGAGTGGAATTGGGTTCCAGAAATGGAGCGGTAAAGCGGTTCCACACTCCTGTTGCGTTGAAGGGGAATAGGAACTCAATTGTTGAGCCTGAGAATAAGGGGGCGAAAATAGCGTTTATGGTGCCGTGGATGTGGTGCAGGGGAAGCACGTGAAGTAAGCGATCTTGAGGTGTATATTCCCATGCCTGGACTAGAGGTTTGGCTTGAGCTGTCATTACGGCTGTTGGAAGTAAAACTCCTTTCTGTATTCATGCTTAGTCACTTTCTGAAGAAATACTTCAAATTTTAAAATGGAACTTACCGGTCGATTCGTAGTCCCAGAAGTATACAACATCATCCCACCTTTTCCCTCACTCGGACCATCCAGTACAACCTCCTCACCGGACTCATTTCCCCCAAGTCTCTTCTCAAGTTGGACTAATTTTGGTGCTGCAACAAGTCCCTCATTCAGAACCTGCTTCGCTTTCTCCTCGAATTTCTTGGAGGAGAGGAGCATTGAAGCACGACTATGATCCATAATATACTGCAACTCATGCGGTGGGAAAGCAGGACTCAATGGGAGAGCAATAGCTTGAGACCCAAGGATAGAAAGTAATGTTACTATATCAATCATTAACACCTCTCTAAACTCCCTCCCCCTCCCTCTTAAAAAATAAAGAAAATAAGAACAAAAAAAAATAAAGCATCAAAGATCTAAGAAAAGAGAGACTGCGCACCCACATAATCATACCCATTCTCCACCAAAAACGCCACCCTCTCCCCCTCCAACACGCCCTCATTATTTCTCCCAAGTCTCGCCTTCGCATCCGCGACATCCCTGAACAACTGGCCATACGTAAACTCGCGGCCAGAGACCGAATGAACCACAGCCGTAGAACGCGGATTGTGACTAGCAAGGGCTTCGAAAATGGGTAAGCGGGGGAGTGTAGATACCATCCTTATTCTCCTCTGTCCGATGCTCACTTTGTGGGTATAGAACGCTGATGCTGACGCTGGCGATCTTAGACTTTGGGATATAAAGGATTGGGAACGGGGGATTGAGTTGAGGGATAGAGAGAGGGGCTTGGAAAGGCTTATACAGAAGCCAAACATCTGAATGATAGGAAGAAAAAGGAGGGAAGAGAGAAGAGAGAAAGTGGTGGTGGATGTTGATTAGTGCCCTGTGCCTGGACTGGCCTGGTCGATTCAGGTCTTGTCTTGTTGTGGAGACTTCGCATGGAAAAGGTATGCTAATCGAATCGAAAGTTCGCTAACATCATAGATTTATCCCCGAGAATGCCCCTCGCTTGCACATCCCTGGAACTCGTTCACGTTCGCCGCACAACAATCACCGATTGGTTGGAGCGGCGATTATTTTCTCCGGGAAGGCTGAGGGGTGGGGTCGAGACAAGGCGAGGCAGGGAAGGCAAGGTTGTTGGTGTAACTATCAAGGTTACTCGTATTTGACAGGAGTACAAACGCGAGCATTCTACAGTACTCAGTGGATCTTGTTGTAGAAAAAGAGATACTTTCCCTGAATGCTCGCAAGAAGAACCCTCCAGGCATTGGTCCGCCGCCCACTCTCAAGAATGGCATCCTCAACCGCAACCTCAACATCCCCCTCACAAACACCCATGGAAGACATAATGCGCACAAAGGTACCCCTCCATCCCCCCTCCTCTCCCTCTTTCCCCCCTACCCCGTTATACCCCCCCTCCTAACACCCCCAGATAACAACCCACCTGCACCCCACCCACCTAGAAATCCACAACGACTCACACCTACACACGCACCACAAAGCCATGGCCGGCTCCACATCGCAGGAGACGCACTTCCGGGTCGTTATTACCTCCGAGGCGTTTGCGGGGAAGATGCAGACGGCACGGCATAAGATGGTGTATGCGCTGTTGAAGGAGGAGATGGCGCGCGAGGGCGGGATTCATGCGTTGCAGTTG